TCAGTGTGTGTGCCCATGTGTGTATCACTGTGTCTGTGACCCTCCATCACGCACTGTGCCCTTCTGCCTGCAGCTCCGTCAGGCCATGCTGCCCCCTCGGTTGACCGCAGTAAGAAGCCCACGACTCTGGAGAGGGGCCTGCCCGGGCTGCCAGGGATCCCTGGCGCTAGCAAAGAGTCCCCCATCCAAGGTACCACCTCCACCCACTCTGCCCGCAGGCCAGTCCATCAGGGACACAGCGCAGACACACATGTATATTCAAAAACTTGGGCACTAACACACCCTTGGCTTCTTTGAAGCACTGAAACTGCTAAGGTTTTTGAATATTGGGCTGTAAAACACTGTAAAGCCTGGAGTGGATCAGTCTGCTGCGGACTAGGATTGTGATCTATTGCACTGCTTGAATCGCAAAACGATCATAACATGAGCACTCGTGGTGTAAATCTTGGCGTTTATTCTAACATACTCTAATACTAGTCAGTATGTGACTCGCTTTTTCTCTTTTTCTCTTCCTTGCAGCAAGAAAACAAGACAGGGTGAGATTCGTGTTCCACTGTCTCTCTCGTCTCTGTGCTGTCTTGCCTGTCTCACGTGGGCTGTGGTCAACATTTTTCTAGATCTCGTCTTCTCGTCTCCCTTCACAACCCTTTAAGAGCCCCCTCGTCAGCTGAAGACCAAAGACCTGGTCTGTTGGCGTGTGCAGCATCTGTGTTGAGCTTCGACCTGCAGAGCTGTCAGAGGTGTCTGTTTCCCAGGTCCCTGCTTCTGTGAAATCAAGGGATCAGAGGCCGATCGGCCGTCTCCTTTGCTGCGATGTGTTTGCTTTATTTCATGCTGTCCCGTGTAAATAGATCCCAACTCGACACGCAATGAATTCTGGTTTAAATGAGGCCCCAGACGGGCCTCACCGTGGGGTGACTGCGTGTGTCACCCCGCAGAGAAACAGAGCGCGGTATCGTCGCTGACGCCCCTCTCTCTCTCCACAGACTATAACGCCGCCCCGAAGGTAAGGGATCGGTTTCGCTGGCCCAGCCAGAGTTACTTTCCCACCCGAAAAAGGTCCCTTACTGTGGAATGGGCCCAGGAGCCACCTGAAGGGGGCGCCGACAGAGGCGGCAGGGTGCACGGCTGTCCCGGGGCGCAGCGCTGGTTCTGATTCGGGGCGCACCCTGAGCAGGGGGCAGGGACTCTTGCTTCCCTGTGGCCTCTGCTGGCCAAACGACCCTTGACCCTCAAGGCTCTGTGTGCCCCTCTCATGGCTCCCCATCCTCTCAAACCCAGCCTGTACTCCCTCTCTTCAACACAGGCTCCCCTCCCCACTCTGCTCTGCCTGCCCCGTCTCTCCTTCTCCCCTCTTTCCTCTCCTTTCCTCCCTCCTGCTCCCTGCTTCTCTCTGCCTCTCAATTCAATTCAAGATGCTTGACTGGCAGGACCAAAGAGTAAAATCAGTGTTGCCAAAGCAAAACAAACACAATTCACATAAAAAATCTACAGACATTCATTTACAATACAATACAGACACATCATAAGATATTTACCTATAAACATATGGAGCACTATTGGGAGACAATGATTGTGACTTTATTGTCAACGTCTGTAAATGTCTATAGATTTTTGTTTTACGTTCATTGTATTTGTTTTGTTTAGGCTCTTTGTTGGGCTCAGCTCTCGGCTCTGCAGGGCCTTGTGGTGGTAGAAATTTTGGTCGCTGTTTTTTAGGTGTAGCCAATATTTTAATACTCTCTTCTGTGTGTTTATTAATGGTGGGTATTGATCTCATTCGGCCCTGCATGCATTGTTAGGTGTTTTTCTGTGGGATGTTTGTCCCATTGACTGTACTCCTGGTCTGTGAGGGGACCCCACACTTCACTGCCATGTAGGGCAATGGGTTGGATCACACTTTCAAATATTAGGAGCCAGATTCTTGTTGGTGGGTTGATGTTGAAAAGCCTCCTTATTGTGTAGAAAGCCCTGAGTGCCTTCTCCCTCAGTGCCTTCACTGCCAGCTCAGGAACTCCCAAAACTCCCTCTCTCTGTCTCTTCCCTCCTCTCCCTATACCTTTAACCCCCCACCTAGCACACCAGTGTCAGAATGCTGTCGTCTCCCCTGCTGCCCAGTTCAGGACAGTGTTATGACTGTGCTTCTTTCTCCAAGACCCCCGGCAGCAGAGAAGCCCCCTGACACCCAGAGGCAGGCCAAACCCCCCCTCCCTGTCGAAAGGAATGGACCTTCGGGACCCTCCCTGAGCCGACGTCCTATGGCTCCCAGGTGCGCCCCCTACAGCCTATCATGATGGAGAGCTCCCTGGATTTCTCTGTATTCATACCTCTCCCTCTATCCCCCTGTTCGGAACTGATGGACTCTCTCTGTCCAACACCTCTGTGTCTCTCCCTCTCTGTCCAACACTCGTGTACACCTCTGTGTCTCTCCCTCTCTGTCCAACACTAGTGTACACCTCTGTGTCTCTCCCTCTCTGTCCAACACTAGTGTACACCTCTGTGTCTCTTTCTCTGTCCAGCACTAATTTACACTCTGTGTACCTCCCTCTCTGTCCAATATTGTCAGACTTTAGTCCAACACTAATGTACACATTTGTCTCTCCCTCTCCATCTCCCAACACTAATTTAGACATCTGTATACATGTATCTCCCTCTGTGTGTGTGTGTGTCTTTCTCTCTCTGTCCAACACTAAAGTTCAACTCTGTGTCTTTCCCTTCCAGACCCACTGGACTGGACCAGAGAGAAGATGTAAGTATTCCCCGTACATCTGAGACATCAGTGGTTCTTTAAGGGTTTATAGCAAGACAGTAATAGTAATGACCTGAGTCAACTGTCCAACAGGAGAGGGAATGGTGGAACTCTCAGAGCACATTGCTTTGGCCTGGTATTATCATGTTCATCTTTACATGCTGATTAAAATACTCCAGTGTGTATTCTAACGTAGTACAGTCGGCTGTAGTGTGAGTTCTGTGCATGGTAACGCAGTACAGATGGTTTTAGTGTGAGCTTTGTGCACAATAATGCAGTACAGTCGGTTGTAGTATCAGTGTTTTCCTTCTGCCTCTCATCTGACTTTTTCTGTTTCCATTTTCAGACACTGGATGACAGTAAGTACCAGCTCTAAACTCTGCACCTTTAGGATCCAGCAAGTATTTCAGATTTTTTGTATAATTTATTCACAATAAACTATACAATATCGGGTATTTAATTTATTCCGTTTTCATTTGCATATTTTTATGTAGTCTTAATTTTCAGTTTTTGCATTTGCAATCTTAAATTATATAAAAAATCCTCAGATTTTGTATTTTAATGGGTTTTGTTGGTTTTCGTTTCCTTCATTAAACTGGGGTAATTACAGATCCCATGATTGTTCATTAAAGTAGAGGTTATCAAGTAGAGTAGAGCCTGTCCTGGCTGAACCCCACTCTGGTCTTGTCCAGTTTCTCTCTCCTCCCCTGAT